TATTGTTTTCGCTTTTGTCATAATTGTCTTTGTGGTTGTCATAAACTTAGGTGGAAAGTCTGCTGCTATGATGATAAGTAGTGGCTGCAGTATTGTGATAGTTACCTGTGCAGCAGACAAGTACCAGTCTCTTCGCTCATGCAACTCATGTTTTGCGTTTGTGACGCCTCAGCGGCAAAATCCGAACATCTGAAATCCCAAACCAAGCGGACCTCGGAAGGGCTGCGAAACGCTTGAAGGCCCTTCTGTTCTCGGCCCTATCACACTTGAGGCACTCTACACCCCAAGATCAGGAGAAGAGCATCCCCGACCACAAGAACTTTGATGCCTCGGGCTGGTTCTTGAAGGCATGATCGAGTTTCCATCTGCGTGTGGGTCTACGGTGACCGGAGCAGGGTGTAGGCTTGTGTGAAGCTTTGGAGAAGGACGTTGGAATTTTACGTTCAGACTCTAAGCAACACTGAGGGAAGACCCCTTGCAACATGACTGATGATGCAGCTCATGTTCTGCACATTTGGGGAAGTTCCTTGTTGCTGTTGTTCTTGTCGGTGCTACTGCTGCTGCTGCTACTATGCTGCTATGCTGCTGCCGATGCTGCTGCTATTGCGGCATTGGTGGTGGTTGCGGGGTTGTTGTTTATTTCAGTGCTGGTCTTGGTGGAGTTTCAGGAGTCAGCAATGCTTGGTGGCTCAGTGTCCTTTGCGACATTTACTCAGATTCCAATCCCGACGGAAGGCTGTGCTCTCTGCTGCAAGTTGAGATGAATCGAGGCTTCGGGCGTCCGAGAAGCGACCCGAGAGTGAGTATGATCTCGTAACAGAGGAATCAGGCTAAGAAGCAAGTTGGCATATCGGCTCGAAGGGTCCGGTTGGCATCCTTCCGCTCCTTCACCAAAAGACTAAGGACCTCAGCCCAAATCGAAACACTTGAAGCCCAAGCCTTGGGCAGCCCTCGCAGTCCTCTCGCCATCTCATGCCACGCTCATCCTCATCAGACCCCTGGATAGCAACACCGGGAGTTTGCGTCGGTCCGCGTCCTTGGGCAGCTGACCATCCGAGAGACACCTCTGCAGAGCTTCTGCCGGCGACCTTCCGCAATGGCGCGGTCAGGCAGATGGTTTCGAGATCGAGGGATGACTGCCCTGTGTCTTGATCCTGAGTATGACTTCAACGGTTTTGCCGGAGACGAGGATGATGAAAATGATGACGGTGATCATGGTGATCATACTGACAATGACGACGACCTTGGTAAGGGTCTCTCTCTGTCTCTCTCCGGAGTCCTGAGGGTTATGCTTCACAGCAACTATAGTAGCATATTGTCAGCTGAATCTGCAACCCGCAGAGCTTCAGCTCCTCGCAGGTGATGTCCGGGGCTCACGGCTCCCGGGCGCACTGGAGAGCGCCTCGCCTGGCAGCGGTCTTGAAGGAGATCTTCGGGGGGTTTTCCTGAAAGTTGGGGTTCCATCCTTTCAAAGATGGACTATTTTGAGGGGTTCCTTATTATAGTATTATAGTTATAGTATACTGGGCACCAAAACCCTATTCTAACTTAGTAAAGGCCCCTAAATTCGAGGTCTTTGTGGTGGAGATTATGTCCCAACTTCAACCAACGAAGCCCTCACCCGTAAACACGAAGCCCCCCGATCCTAAATCTCCAAAGCTTTAACCGTAACCCCTGAAGAGCCTTGAACCGAAACCCCCAAAGCCCTGAACCTAGTGCAAGCCTACAAGAAGCAGGGTCACTGCCCTGGAAAAGGCCCACTGCATTGAACAAATCCTAAACCCCAAACTCCCAAATCCCCAAACCCCCTAAAAACCCCTAAACCCTTAAAGCCCCCTAGAGCCCTTTAAGGGCCCCCTGAAAGCCCCTAAATCCTTAAAGCCCCCTAGAGTCCTAAGCCCGAGAGACCTCCAGGCTCCCGAGTCGCGGCCCCGACCTCAGAAGCCCCGCGTTCCGCGAGAGCTACTGGAAGGAGACGCGGTTTAGGGTTTCGGGTTTAGGGTTTCGGGTTTAGGGTTTCGGGTTTCGGGTTTAGGGTTTAGGGCTGACTATGGTGTATGATGGCCTTTGATGGTGCATTGGGGTGGCTGGGGGTTTAGGGGTTTAGGACTTGGGGTTTAGGGTTTGGGGCTTCGTGTTCAGGGTTGAGGGTGAGGGTTTCCATGGAGCCCTTAAACCTAAGCTGGGGAGCAAACAGCAGCCCCCTGTGCCCCTGATCCGTGTACCTTAGAAAGGTAAACCCGAATCCCGAAATCCTGCAGACCCATGGCGGCTGCATGGGTTGAAGTCATGGATCCTCCTGCTCACGCAAGAGCCGACATCATCTGCGGGGTGCAACTGTATGAGAGAGCAAGATGAACATCCGAGCTTTGCGTCTCTAGAGTGGTGGTGATATCTTGGGGATGCTCACGCTAGCATGCTATCCTAAACAACCAGAAGGATTGCAAGAGGGAGGAGGACACAGCAAAATCGGAGGTCTGCACGCAGGGCTCCCATGAGAGGTATGAAATCTGCAAAGCCCGCGAGAGAATTTAGGATGGATTCCACGCCCCATCGCAGGAGCATCGGCCATTGCTGGATGCGCCCGACGGACGCTGTGGGCAGATGGCCTCTACCTGCTGGTGCCTGGCTAATTTGTCAGCTCTTTCCCGACTTTAGAGATACCAGCAATGATCCGTATAACCAGAAAACGTGGTTGTGGCAATCGCAGCCACGCAGTGTTGCGAGCAAGCACTGGGTACTTGTACCACCAATACCACCAACCCACCACGACCGCCGGCGGTGGCGGCTACGACAATTACTCTTGCTGCTGCGCATGCCGCGACGGTCACAATTACCAACGCTACTGCAAGTCCTTCGCAGTCTGCTGATGCTGCTGTAGTTGCTTTGATAGGACCCATGTGTGTCGTCCAAAGCCTCCCTCTTGGGCAGTGAGGCAGCTACAATCAGATGTCAGCGAAACGCTTAAACCAACGAGCCCACGTGGCCAAAGCTTCGAAGGAGGCTCACGCGTGCGGCATCCACTCAGAGCCGTTTTTGGATGAAACCTTGAACTCCTTGAACCGTGAACAGCTCGTGCGCACAGAGATGGCGGACAGAGAAGAGCCTTCAAGAAAAGGCTCTCTTAGACGGGAGAGACGGGCCCCCCCACAGCAAAAGCCATGCAGCACCCTAATCCCACAGAATCCCACCGGGCAGCGAGGCTCTAGATCTGCAGATCCGAAAATCATAGTCGGAAAAAAGAACCATCAAAGCACCGGATAGGGGCAGACACTTATCTTTTAACATGCAGTATACTATATAGGAAATTATGGTACATGACGGTGCCTTGTAGTATACAGCCCAGCTGTAATGTATTACTACAATCTACTGTAGTCCACTATAATATACAAAAGGCATAGTTGACTTTGGTAGACACGAATAGACATAGACTAAAATAGACTATAACAGACTAGAACAATAGACTATACTAGACTATAGTAGACCATAATAGACTATAATGTACTAATTTTTTGGATTACAATAGACTATACTAGACTACAAGATAGACATGGAATTATTTAAGTAGCATTGATATAATTTACTCTAATCCTTGGCCGGAGGATGACTTGACCTTCCGCGGCCTGCAGCCGGACCAGGCCTCCCAAAGCAGAGTCCAAGTTAGGTGAATAGATATGGCGGTTTTCGGTTTTGGAGTTTGGGGTTTAGGGTTTTTCGAGTTCAGGGTTTGGGGTTTTAGAGTTCAGGGTTCAGGGTTTAGGTCTGAGGGATTAGGGTTACGGTCATGCAGAGTATTAAGCCCGAAATGCCTCGACATACTTCATTTCATACACTGATTCGGCATGGTAACAGTTTGACTTCGAGACAAGAAAAGTGTGTTGCACGATGCTGTCATGTACCTCCAAAGCCTCTTCCGATTAAAAAGACCCCTGTCTATCCGCATGTTTAGCAACAGCTGTGACCGTTTACAGTGCAGACCGTTGTTTTGGCTTCACAGCAAGGGCCCTCCTCACAGCAGCATCCCCTGCATATTGCAGTATAATCTGGTGTATGCAGCAAGATCCTAAAGCTCACCCGATCCCTTTCGGCCCGTGACGGCCGACGTCAGGTCAGACATTGACCTCAGAGCCATGGATACGAGGGATGCGGTACAAACAACCGCAGAGCTCTTGAACGGCATGAGTTCTGCCGACCTGATGGAGGTGGCAGAGCTGATGGAACCTTTCGCCCTGCAAAATTTGATACCAAGAGCGCAGCTGCGGCTGCAAGCAATGCAGGCGAAAACTAGCGGTGGCACCGAGAAAGGCTACGGGAAGCCCAACGGCAAGGGGACCTTTGGCGCGAAAGGTGGAAAAAGCAACGGCTTCAGCAATGGGGGTGGCAAAGCTGCTGGCAAAGCTGGTGGCAAGTCTGGAGGCAAGACGAGAGAGAAGGGCTCTGTGCCGATTCCAGAAGCTTTAGAACACCCTGAAGAGCTGCCGGCAACAGCAGCGACTGGCGAACAGGTGGCTTTTCAGGTCAATGCAGGCACACCGTGGCAGTTCGTTGGCGAGGAATCAACTTTCTTCAGGTGGGAGCTGCAAGACCGCAACTCCGTGACTGAACAGGACAAAACCGAGATTCGCGAGATCCTCCAGGCGTATGCTGAGGAACATGGAATCCCTTTGAGGGGCCCGGAGGGCATCAAGCTGGCCCTGCGCCGCGGCCGACACTGGGTGTCGTACGCTGGCGGAATCTCCTCTGTGGAGGGTAGGTGACTTGCGGAGACCCTGAACCGTGAGTAGCCCTACTATGCCCGTCTCCGGCACGGGCCTGTTCCACGGAAGACTGGGACCTCGCATAATGCAAAACAGAGTGCGAGAGGGTGCGGGCTTCGATTCTTGGAGATTCTGGCAGTCGCAAAGGACATCATTGCAGAAGTAACCGAAACGATTCTAGCAGTGACAGAAACAGTTGTTATCGCGAGAACCTTTGTTGTATTAGTTATTAGTGCTAGCCACATGGAGCTGAAGCAGCACGATCTCGGTGTAGCCCTGAACCGCGCTGCGAATGTTTTTCACATGAACAAGATCAGATATCATAGCATTCTGTGAGGGTCCCTTTTAGGGTCCTTTTTTATGAGGGTGCCCCGGCTATCTTGGGGACCTCAAAAGTATCCCTGAAGTCGCCAAGCCGCAAGTCCCTGCCTCCGCAGGTCGTGCGAAGCGCCGCAATGGCAGGCGTGAGCCGCGGCGGCTTGTGGAGCCAGCCGCTGGTGCCACCTGAGATGGCTTGGGGCTTTAGCTATATGGCCCAGGTTTCATTCAAGAGCAACATAAAGTTGTATATATGTACATGTCCATGCCTTCATGCAGAAACTTTGGCTGAATGTACGTGCAAAGTGCTGCATGGCAGTGGATGGTGACACGCTGTCCTGTACAGTAGGTTCAGAAACACGCCATGAAGTTTAAAGCTCAAGCCTTACATAGCACCGCCGTCAATGTTGAATAGCAGGACTTTTTCACGACACCCTCAAAGGAACCCGATCTGGATAAACTCATAGGAGGGGGAGCTGACAATTATCAGCGAAGACAGGTGCTGCTGAGCTTGCTCTGGCGCGACCGCGTGGAGGCATCACGATTCATGCAGAATTCTCTAGATTCGAGAGTCCTTTCTGATGACGTAGTGTTACATTCACCACTAGGTTGTTTTTGCCGACTGCGATGTGAAGCTGCTTTGTCAGTCGATAATTACTAAAGCTTAAAGCCTCCAGCCCGAGGTGGACATCAAGAGCTATAGCTCTGTGTTCATTGGCATCACCGCCGCTGCTCGATGGGCTGATGGCCTGCACCTTCTGGAGGCCACTTGCGCAAGCTTTTTGTCGGCTTCCTTCTTTCTACTAGTGCAAGTTCATGGCGCTGCGGGGATGGATCAGCATTCAACTTTTATGTTCACTTTTTGGGTTTGGGGTTCGCGTATGAGGTGATCAAGTGGAGATTTTCAATTGGTAGCCTGTGATCATCAGGAGCTGCGCTGGCGAGCCCGGCCGGAGGACATTGTGGTGGTCAACAGCCGCTGGGCACATACTACATTACTGAATAGTTTATTGCAGCTCCCGATAATATATCAGGGCCCGTGTGTCGTACATCATGGTGTATTGTAGTAATAGCTCAACAACATGTCGTCTTGTTGAGAGGACCTATCGACAAGGGAGCTGGTGAAGCCTCATGTCGCACGATGTTGCTGTAATTGCTTGTGCATGGGTATCTTAATCCACAGATACATGCAAACATGGGCCTGTGCATGTGCATGTGCATGGTATGGTATGGCGTGGTATGGTATGGCATGGTATGGTATGGTGTGGGAAGGTGTGTCGTGTTGTGCTATGTTATGTTGCATAGATGGATGGATGGATGGGGGGATGGATGGGTGGATCGGTGGGTGTCGGTGGGTGGGTGGGTGGATGGATGGATGGATGGATCGGTGGGTGAGTGGAGGGGTGGGTGGGTGGATGGATTGATGCATGTATGTATGTACTATGTGTTTTTATGGGTATAGATGAAGTCATGGCATGCAAATGAATATATCACAGAAACCCAGATATTAGTAGCCAAGCAAAGCCTGTGCGATACTTGTAGCACGGCATGTGAAAAGGCTGAGTAGGCTTAATCCGTAAACCATAAAGCCAGGATGCCTGCACCCAAAGCCTGCTGAGGCGGCTTGAGCTGCTTCGAGAAAGCGGGCGAATGGCAAGGGGCCGCCTGCTCTCCCGAGAGTTTTTTGATATAAAGTCCCAAGCCAGAAACTTCCAAGACAACCCCTGCGCCTTAAGGGCCGAAGAAGAATAAACTGTAAGCTGCATTGAGGTTTCGGGTTGTCATGCGGAAGCCATCAGTGTCAGAGGTATATATGTGGGGCCAACCAGGTAGTTGTAGGTCTCGTGATTATCATCTTCGCCATCATCAAGCTGTACGATAGCTGCTGTTCTGAGCATCATGACGGGCTTCTGGGGGAGGTGGTTTTAGGCTTCGTTTCGTGCTCGTAGGGTCCAGCATCGGAGTGTTGTGATTCAGGGCCCTGGAAGTCTTTGGAACCAGGATTTAGGCTTTGGAGCTTCGGGCTTTAGTCATTTGGGGGTTCGAGGGTTTTTGGGACGCGGACGACAAGTTCTCCAATGAGGCTTAGCTTGTGAAACCTAAGTCCCCAAACCCTCAAACCCAAACGATTTGGATTCACGGAATGCCTTCTCCTTGGTGCGAGCTAGGTCGCAAGCCCATGTCCTAAATCCTAGTCCGTAGCCTTAAAAAGCTAACCCACCCTCCTCAAAAGAACGCACACACTAGACCCTAAACCCTAATCCTACACCCTAACCTTATACCATCACCCCCGACCCTAGTCCTCGAATCCCTGAGCGCAAAGCGTCGCTCGCGAGTCCCGGAGGCCTTGCGGCTGCTTCGCCACACGGCCCCGGCCTGGAGGCCGACCTTCGAAGAGGGCTGGGGGAACAATAGTGTAAGATCGTAAGTAAATATTCATAAATGTGCGCATATATGTATTTATGCATATGTGTATGTATGTGCATATGTATATATGTATATACGCATATATGTATATATGTGTATAAGTTCAGAAGAAAGTGTAATTACTATACGGTATTGTGGTATAGTATAATATCATGATCGCAGCAAGGACAGATAGTAAGATAGCAGCAACAAGGCCATGATCATGGCCCTACGAGGATGTCGTTGCCCAGAGAGTCGGCTGGGAATTTTCGAGACCATGCAAGACGCGGACGTCGGGGACACCTGACTCCTAAAACCCCAACGCCCTACACCCCATAAAACGAAGTCTAAAGCAGCAAGGCACCCAACCCGATACCCTAAGCCCCAAAAGCCCTCAACCACATACCACGTATCAAAAACAGAACTCCGAAGGCACGCGAAACCCCCAGCTGCCCCCCACGAGGCTAGAGCCCGACCTGGTAAGCTTCAACGTGATGGGCCCAGCTTGCGGAAGACGAGTTGGAGTTGAGCGGGATGAGGGGGGATCTTGAAGTCGTGGGGACCCTCCGTTGTCAGGGGTCCTCATGTTGAGGATCCTATTCTTTGCGGGAGGTCTGGCATAGGGATGGAAATGATTGCTCCTGTAGCGATGCCGTAAACTCTAAACCCTGGGACCCTGTCATACATACATACATACATACATATATATATATATCTATATATATATATATATATATATCTATATATATATATGTATATATATATACACACACATACACACTCACACATACATGTACACATGCACTTGTGGCCTTTTGTGCCCCGAGTCGCTGGTTTGTGACGATGATGCACCTTCTGCCCTGAGGCGATGTTGAAGCTTCTTTCCAGAGTCGCGCATAGCCATCGTTCTGCGATGACGCTGTGGGTGCCCTGAACCCTGAAGACAGGCTTCCTAACAGGAAACTAGCTCGCACAAACATAAGGTTTCTTGGGTTCCCCAGCCGACGCTGTCTGAACCTTCTGCATCCACAAAAGAGCCCCACGAGGCCGCCTGCTCCGCCTGCGAGAAGGGCGATCGCTGGCTCCTGGCGCTGTTGCTGCTCACAGAGGCCAAGCAGGCGCCGTGGTACAAAGTGCCTGAGGCGTGCCAGCGTCCAGGCGTTTGGGGGCCCCCAAATGTCTGTGGGGTTGCGGGTCGTTGAGGGTTGCAGGGGTTTCAGGGAAGAACTGAGAAGATAGAAAGATGCAGGGATTTGCTTGGGAGTCGGAGTGGCAAATTAAGTGCTAAGATTTGTGAAGCTTTCACAACAACGATGATCGGCCAAAATGCACGACCAGATCTGGCGCCTGCCTGAGGCGAAGCTTCAGCCCGACGTCGTGAGCGTTGCTGCCTGCATCAGCGCTGCAGAAGCCTGCCTTATGGAGGGGGTTGAACAACTAGTAGTCGTACTTAACGTCCCCTCAATCACTACTGCCCCCATACTGCATTTCAATTTCAAAAGCTAAGCTGGGTGTCAAGGGAGCGCAGGGTGCGAAGCTTAAGCGGACTTGAGGCGATGAGCCTGTAGTGGCACCCGCTTCTTACTTGCAGTTGACATTTTGGGTTTCGGGTTCAGGCCTAGGGCCTTCGGGCCTTCGAGCCTTAGGGCTCTTGGCATGGAGGCTTCAGCTCGTTGAACACGGAACGCAAAAACACCAGGATCCTCTGAGTAAGGCTTCCGAAATCCTCCCTTTTGGGGTCCGTCGTACACCGAGTTTCTCATGTGCCTGGACGATCCGAGGAGAAATGCTCCCAGTGGGGCCCGGCGCTGGCGCTGCTTCAGAGCCTCTTGACTTGTTTTAGGCTTAGAAAGGCTTCAGCTGCTTTGCAAGCACGTTGATCATCTGAATCTCCCAAATGCCACATCCACCTCCCTTTGTCCGGCTTCAGTTTCTTCGAGAGAGGTTAACAGCTTCTCGTCATGTTTCCCCGCAAGCTGCTTCTCCGAACCAAAGCTTCGGCTGTGATGCAAGCCTGGAAGGACCCACTTCCAGCCCATCACCGAACCCAAAGGCCACAAAACCAACCTCCCCAAAATGCCAAAGGCATGGGCTCGAACGCTCTGGAGACCAGCGTGGTGGGGCACAACGCGGCTTCTTGGATTGGACCTTGAGGGGTGCAAGCCGTGGATGCGCGTGTTCATATGTGTGTTTGCTCCTAAACCCTAAACTCTAAACCCCAAACCCCTAAACCGATGCACTTAAAAAAAAGCGAAACCCTGACAACCCGGCCGGCTCATGGCAAGGCCGCGAGCGCCTGCGAGAAGGGCTACGAGTGGGCGCGCGCCCTCGGAGTGCTCTCGGCGCTGCGGAGCTCGAGGGAGGCCGCGGGAGTCGCAGGGATCCTTGGGTTTCAGGGTTTTTGGAATTCACTTCGGTGCCAGGAGTTTGGGTTCTATTCAGTTTCTTTTGAGGTTCTCTAGGTTGTTCATCATCATCACCATCATCGTCCTCACAGTTATCCTCATCTTTCCTGTGATTCGCATCGCTGGCGTCATCTTCTCGATGCAGTAACCGTCATCATGGGATGTTCTTGTCACGTGGTCGCAGGAAATGCAAGCAGTAGTCGTCCCGGTCCTCCGACGACCGGTGCCGCCAATATCTCCGCGACCACGACTGATCAGAACCGCAGTATGTAACGAAAACTGTCAACCTTCAATCGGATCAAAACTTGCTCGCGGGCAGGAGCCTGGAGTGGTATCCTATGCCGCCGTCGCTTCTGCCTGCGAGAAGAGGCGGCGCTGGGAGGCACGAGAGAGACTAGTAACGGCGCGGGTAGTCACATTGGAGAAGGCAGGATTAGAAAGGGAATCTAGATGCTGCCCAGGTGGCGTTTCAGCTCGCAACGGACCTGGAGGTCGGACCGACGGAGACGGAGATGGGCAGAGAGGGACAGACAGACGGACGGAGACAGACGGAGAAAAACAGAGACAGAAAGAGACGGATGGATACAGACAGAGATAGACAGACACAGACAGATGCAGACAGCCAGACACCGACAGAAGCAGACAGACACTGATAAACACAGGACAGACACAGACAGACACGGACGGACAAACACGGACAGAGACGGAGGCGGAGAGGGACACAGACACAGCCAAACAGTGTACCTAGACCGACAGACAGTCTTGTCAGACAGGCAGGCAGACAGACAGGAAATCTGAGACCACAGGTAGGTCTTGCTGAGGGCCAACACCCGATTCGCGGTTCATACGCAAGTGTCCTCGGTGCTGTCACATGCACAGGCCGCTGGCGGTGCTCAAAACGTTGTGCTACGAGGAAGCCTCGTGAGTGCCTGCGAGAAGGACCGGGGAAAGGTTGCAAAGAAGCTTTTTTCTCCGGCAACCTGCGAGTGTTTTCCTAGGCTGTGCCAAGCTCCTTACGCCTTTTCCTCTGAAACCTTGTAGATCTGCACGGTAAATCTTTGTACCTCCTCTCCCGAGGCAGTAGTGACTCAACCGCGATATGAGGTATTTTCATGTACAATCCATTCAGGGATTTCCACGTTTCTGCTTGCAATATCACCAAAGAACTCTGGAACATCCAGCAAAGGCTCCCAAGGCACTGTGAGCTTGTATAAGGTAGGCAAGATCCCCTAGACCCTAAACTGGAAACGCCGTGAAACTCATGCGAACCATACAGCAGCACGCTAGTTGTATTCGGGATTTCAGAAAGAACTCGTCTTAGAGAAGCACCGCTGGTCATGGCCTCTGCTAGAACTGTTCTTGAGGAACGGGCATTTCAAGGGAGGTGTGTGGGCTCGGCCAACTGCTGATAGCGGGATAGAAAGTCCACATCCAAGAGGCATGGCTCAGATGAGAGAACCTTGCATGTCAATTCAGTGTAAGCCATTTGCAATAAACCCGAGGATCGTCGCTGGGAGAAGGGCATGTTGCTATTGCAGGCGGGCACAGGTGGTCTGAAATCCGTTGGGGCGTAGGGGTTGTAGATTCTGTAGACACTTATTGCCACTTCATTGATGATATACTTAATAGCGGTGTGACAGTCTGTGCAATTGCAGGGGCTACGGGATGCTCTGGGTCTTGGTACGCAAGCTTGGTTGTCTATGAGGTTTGGAAAATCAAGGCTCAGAGTAGTTGGATCTTCAGCAGCCTGTTGCTGAATTCGCCCCCCCCCCCCCAACTTCTGTTGAAAATGCTACAGACAGGCCTTCCGCCCCTGGCGTGTGAGCCAGCAGGAGTGCGGGCTCGGGCGTGAATGTAAGGGTTGAATACTGTCTTACGATGAAGAAGCCTACATAATTACTCTTTGTATCCTTGGGATTCCTTGTTTAGTTGCTTTATATTGAAACCCAAAGCCCTATTCTAATTGCAAAGGCCCTTGTAATGTCTTTTTCGGATTGGCTGGGCAAACGCCTTCGGGGCGCCAGCGATGCATTTCACACAAGGTCGGCGCACTCAGTCTCAAAGTGGTGAGTAGGAGCTGTAGTAGGAGCCAAGGGGAGAGCAGCAAGAGGACGAGCGCAATTAACAGGCAATCAAGACCCCAATCGGATCATGGGCCAGCAGGATATCGGCTTTGCCTCCGCAGCTGCTTGGACAGACAGTAGTGGGGATGCGCTGGACGACCTGGATATGGAATTTGGCGATGTCCGCTGCTACCTGTTGTTTGATGAGGTGGGGCAGAAACTTAAGAGATAGCTTGGATGACATCTGCAAAGTCAAACGCCGGAAGCCTGAAGCCTTAAAGTGCGTAGCGCACAGCACGCACTTCGCATGACCCGGCACTCTTCTCAATGGAACGAAATGCACGACACCTTGGAAACTAAATCGGCGGGGTAATCAGTAATCAGAGACCCTGAATCCCAAACCCTGCAAACCCCTGCGCTACGACTTTTCCTGCCAGCCCAGACCTCTGCCTGCGAGAAAGCCAAGTGCTGGCGGCAGGCGATGGGTCTGGAGCCCCGGCCGCAGCAAAGGGGTGAGCATCGATCAGAGAACGGCAGTATGAGCCGGCAAGTGGAATCCATCCGGCGAGTTCCATCAACACTCGATGCCCTCGGCGCAACAACTGCATCGGAAGGCTTCGAATCCTCACCATTCTCCATGCGACGAGGTGCGCTACATGCACCAGTGCGGCCTGCAGCCATACATCTTCAGCGCCAACGCAGGGCTCAGCGCGCTGGAGAAGGCTCCACAGATCTTCGGCTTCGGGGATGAGCCCTTGTTGGAGTTCAGGTCAGGCTTTTTGGGTTTGAGGCGGGTGTGCAGCAGCTCCTGGGAAGGGGTAGCCGCTCCGGTGTTTGCTCGTGCGAAGCAGTGGCAATGTCCCTGGTGAAAGCGCCTGACACTCCAAAAACCCCAGACCTTAAAGTCTAAGCACGAAACACCTTAAACACCCTAAGCTCGAAACCCGGTAACCCTTTTGCTAGTTGGGAGTATGGGGGGCTGGTGATCTTGATGCTGTTGCCATGGTGATGATGGCATGGCGGTCGTATATTCACTTCGTCAACCATGCTGATTTTGATGGTGATGGTGCTGCTGCTGATGATGGTAGTGGTGATGTTGCATAGAAGCTTGTGAACCTCCAACCCTTGTCCACTTCTGACTCAACGAAACCTTGCGCCCTAAGCCACGACTAAGCCCGAGCACCACCAGCGCCAAACCCAGCTCCGGTTCCAGGCGGCGTGCTGGGCTCGCGGGCTGGCGCTCTTCGAAGACTTCGCGCCACTTGGCCGAGAAGTGCCATCGTCACCATACTGCTAATGACAAAAACAATGATTGTTGTGATTTCCACTAAGAACATTAGGACTGCTATTACTGTAAGTGTGTACAGACGATACAAAGGCCAGAACTCGTATGGAAGAAGGAACAGACTTGGTTTTGGTCCGGACTGCCGTGTCAATTCCGGGTCCTATTCCGATGTTTCTAGCAGCAGTTTCAAGCGAGTCGTATCCCTGTGAGCTCATGAAAAAACTCCACCAGGTAGGGAAATGGGACATTTTATAGTTTCCCTTATTGGGCTTAAGAGGATCTGATTTACTAGTATTTTTCAAGAGCTTTAGAAGCCCCACCTGGTCCAGCTTTACAACATATTATTCCCACCTAAAGCCTATTATATTATTGAGGCCCCAGATATTAAACCCTGTAAACTTTATTCATGTATTGAGGTGCTGGTCTCTAGATGCGACGGAGACAACATTCTCAGCGTTGATGAGTGTCTCCGGGCTGCTGATGGTTCGCGGGATTCTGGTCCTTGGGACCTCTGGCTGAGATGGGCTGGTTCTTTCCACGGAAACAGGTCCATTGGGTGCAGATGCAAGGCCCACGTGGGTTTGCAAATGCTACAACAAGCAAATCATGGGTGAATCTTCAGTAGCAGCAGGATAGTTAGTACGATCATAACTACTATAGTCATCCGGAGACTTATAGATACAATCACTGCAAAGAATAGTAAGAGCAGCTCTTCCAAGCACAGCTCTGCCAGTCACGACACGACATTCACAGAACACGTAGGGGGACAGAAGCCCAAAGCCCTAAGCCCACCGAAACTGCCGAAGCCCGAAGCCTGAAAGTAACCCTCATAGACTCCCTTGTGACGCCGCTAGAGTAACTGCGCTCCGCCAAGGCCTGTGAGAAGGCTCGAAGGCTGGAAACCGCCCTCGGCCTACTCGCGCTTTCGCGGCCGCGAGGGCGACTGCCACGCCCCAGTGCAGCTTGGATCTTGCAACAAAAGCCCAAGAGTCTTGAAGATCAGGGATAGGAGGTTGAGGACTTGAGGGTTTGTTGGGATTGCGGGTTTACATGCAGAGGGGTTTGGGCTTGAAGAGTGTAGGGCTTTAGGTTTTCGAGTCCTGGATCTTTCTCCGGCTACTGGCTGCGCTAGACGACGACTCTGACTACGAGTGCTTTTTGTGAGAGAACCCTTTTGACCTCGCTTGCGACTGCGCGCAAGCTCGCAGTCTTGACTTGCGACTGTGCTTACATCGGCCGCATCGGCGGCGAGGAGAGGAGGAGGAGGAGGAGGAGGAGGAGGAGGAGGGAGGAGGAGGAGGAGGAGGAGGGGAACGACAACATCAACGACTTCTAGCCTGTTCCGGTAATTACTATCTCTGGTGATTGCCGACTACTGCTGCTGCTGTTGCAAGCCCCGACGGCCCAACTGCCAGAACTGTGATGTTTTCGGTGTCGATGATCACCCTGGACAGTTTTCAGGCATAGGGGCAAGCCTTGAACAAAAAGACCGAAGCCCGAAGCTGAACCCCGAAAGCCTGTGGAGCTGAGACTACGAAGGTGATCCACTACAACTCCGCCCTGGCGCTTTGTGCCGGGACGGGCGACTGGGAGCTGGCTCTGGCGCTCTTGGCACGCCTGGACCTCTCGGGGGGGATTCGGGGCTCACTCTGTCTTTGAAGTGTCGTGCCGTTCCAGTCGAGGCAGAATTCAGAGGACAGTTGAAGTGAGGAGGGGGAAGGAAGTGGGGGGGCGTTGGCTTGAAGATGCCGATGAGAAGCTGTCGATTTGTCGTCGGTCAGGTTCTGTCTTGATTTGTCTTACCATGCTATCATATGCTATCCATATCCAGCCCTGACATCCCTTGTGATGTGGCGAATCTGGGCGTTTTGCTCTTTCTGCGTGTTCGTGTTTACATTTCGCTTCTGGCGTCAGAGAGCAACCTGTTTCAGGCTAGTAAACCACATCTACTTTAACAGTACTGTATGGTTGAGATGGTGGAGCGACGATTCCGATGCATCAGCAGACACTGCCAGCGAGTTGAATAAGCACTGGCCTGGGGACGTTTTGTCGTTACCGTTTCTACCCTGCCTTTGTACTGCACCAGCGATCCATGATGTATTCGACCTTCCCGTCATCCCGACATGCATGACCTTAGCCACCTTAAGGATTTATCGACTCATGCTGTCAAGCCGAGACCCAGGCACTGTTTGCTGAGATTCTGCGGTTAGAGGAAAACAACAGCCTAAGCGATCGACGCTGAGGTGTCAGCCTTCTACCGCGGAGGTCTCAAGGCATATGACATCCCGTTATTGCAAAATCACACCGAACCCCCTGAACAGAAGGCCCAGGGAAGCTGTCTAGAGTCTAGAGATCCTAAACTCCGGACCTTAGCACCCAAAACTCCAAACCTTACGGCCTACACCCCCTGCCCGAATGCCCGAACAAGCCCGGACCATAATCCGGGAAGACCTTCACAGATCCTTGTAGAACCGTGTAATCATCTGTCAAGAAGCCCTTAAACCCCATGTCTTAGAACCCCTAGAAGCTCATCAACACTCCACCCTGGCACCCCAAACCCCAAACCTATGAGATCCTTGGAAGCGAACTTGTGCTCCAACACCCTCCTGGAACGCTCGTAGAACCCCATGAAGAGGAGGAATCAAGCCTGTCGCCCACCACCGTGAGCCTGGAGCCCGTCGCTGCAGTTTTGGAGCCGGGTTCCCGGAGGCTCTCCAAGCCTTTCTGGCATGAGTGCGCCATCTATATCTCTCTAGCTCTCTCTACAAAAATAGTAAAATACCAAACTATAGAAACAAAATCCTCCTCCTCCTCCTCCTCCTCCTCAGCCTCCTGCTGCTGCTGCTGCCGCCACCACCGCCATCGCGAAAGCCACCGCCATCACGCCCCCACCACGCGCCCACCACCGCCACCACCGCCACCACCGCCGCCACCGCCGCCGCCGCCGCCACCGCCACCGCCGCTACCAAGACCACCACCACGACCACTACGGTGCAAGCCTTCTTCATCAACTTCGCGCGGTTCCGTCAACCAAGATTCTCTCAACCGCGCTTCCTTCAACCATGTTCCCCGCTTCCCTCAACTCAGATTGTGCGGCCGCCCCCCCGTTTCCGTCAACCCTACAGTGTTGTCAACGCATCTCGCCCGCTCTGTTGCCAGTCTCACATTCAATAAAGCCAGGTGGCTAGCCAAGTATGCCGTGCCACTGCGGTATGCGGAGTTTGGGGTGTGAGCAAGGAAGGTAGAAAAAGGCTTCCACGTGCTTCTGCTAGTCGCAATGCGGTGCGGGTGGTTAGGGTTCAGTGAGTACTCGTGGTTGGGGTAGCACGCGTGTCTGTAGTTGGAGCGACTTTTTCCGTATGGGTTCAACGAAGCAGTTGTTTGGGTTGACGGAATCATTCCCGGGGCCATGGTTGCGTGAATCTCCGTGCTGGGGTTGAAAGAATCAGGCATGGTCGAGTGAATCTGCGTGCTGGGAGTTGAGTGAATCTGCGTGCTAGGGGTTGAAAGAATCAGGTTGTGTATGGGTTGAACGAAGCAGTTCTTTGGGTTGAAGGAATCATTCCCTTGGACATGGTTGAATGAATCTGCGTTCTGAGGTTGAAGGAAGCAGGTTTTGAGGTTGATGGCATCCGCGTTTCCGGGTTGACAGAATCCGCGGGCAGTGGTTGACGGAATAATCGGCGAAAAGTTGAAGGAATCCGCGCGCGACCCGACCACTACGACCACTGTGGCCAGCACGACAACTGCTGTGACCACGGCCACTACGACCAAGACGACCAAGACGACCACGACGATCACGAGGATTCGCTACCAGCACCACCACTATCACCACCACAACCGCAACCGCTACCACAACCACTACCACGACCACTGCCACTACCACTACCACAACCGCCACCTCAATGTGTTTGGTTCTCACCCGGGTCGCCTGTACACTGTCCCTACGCCCCAACCCTTTACCAGCTTTTCCGCCTTGCTCGTTCGGACAGGATGACTTTAATTCGATGACAGAACTCGGAGCTTCGGTACCCTGAACTTCTACGAAGCCGTGTCAGCCCCAACCAAACCGTGTGCATTCCAGAACCCTTCCATTACAGGAGCCTTCCACCTCCGAAGGTCCCGTGATTTCGGGTCCTTGAGCTCCGGCCCAGAGGTTCTGACAGAGGCGCAGCAGGCTCCGGGCCACAAAAAGCCGCCGAAGGCCTCAAAGCCATGGGAGCCTTAGCCCAAGAACGACAAAGACCACGAACATAGACCCTAAAGCTCTGGAACTTAGAACCCTCACGCCACAAAGCGCTGCATCCAGGTCTCACCAGCAGCCATGCTTCCTCCCCAGGTGGGAGCACGGTGGATTGTTTCGGATATGGTAGGGTTTCTGGAGTTTAAGGTGTTGGGGTTTAGAGTTTGATTTTAGGGATAAGGGTATAGTCGGTATAGTATCACAATGTAATGGCGAGACCCCAGGGTAGCTTCAACAGCACAAGGAGATTCTCTTATACTTATGCTATACTAGACAGAACACGGTATACCAGAGCACATTGTTAATCTAGTATGCTACAGCACACTAATAAGATGACAGTACCAATAGAAAAGGATAATCACATGATATAGGCTATAGGGTTTCAAAGTTGACGCAACATAGAACTGGAAACTTGTATTTCGGCTCCCGGCCTGCGCAGAGGCTCCTCGAGGAGACCGGCAACCGGGGCACCAAAGCCGTGCTTCAGAGAATTGCAGAGGCCAGGCGGCTGGGCCTTGGGTTCAGGGATTAAGGGTTGTAGGAGTTTAGGTTTCAGGGTTTCTGATTTGAGGAGTGTGGGTTGACCAATGGTTTGGTCTGGAATCTGTGCCTGGACTCGAAAAGCCGAGACATCCCAAAACTTTGCACGTCCCTGAACCCTAAACCCCATACCCTACATGTCCTTCGCGAGCACCGGTGCTCTGTTCGTCACAAGGAGCCTTCAGGACTTGTCGGGGCGAACTTGAGAGCGAGAAACTCGCAACATCCTTGGCGATGTAGTGTAGGGGCCTTATTAATTACCTTTAGCAGTTTCGGGGCCTCCTTATTAAACTTATAGTCTGGGCCCCAAAGCCCTATTCTGAGTATAACGGCCCTATATTGATTGACATCCGACGTATTGCCACACAGCTCGCAGTGCACGTTCATTGGTTGTGTCATTTAAGGTTCCATTTCCATCATTTCTGGCTTGTCCACCCGTTCCTTATTGCGAACCCTCGTTTGGAACAAAACCTTCTCCCACATGAAGGTGATCACTTTGAACCCTTACGCATGGAACCCTTATAGCACCCTTATTTCAACCCTAAGCCCTAAACCCTAGGGGCGATCCATCTCTGGATTTTCGACCGCCCGCCAAAGGTTCAACGTCGGCATCGGCGGAGCTTCGGGCAAAAAGTGCCAGCATCGAGGGCTAAGGTGTAATATAGGGGTGTTAACAATCACAACAGGGTTTTGGGGGTATATGTGCATTAATCGTAATCAGGAACCCCCAAAACCCTATTACTCTTCAATCATGAGATTCGGTTGTGGTGGTCATTGTAGTCACAGTCTTCCTGCTCTCGGTCGGTCCTGCACGTCAGCCTTTCCCAATCCAAAGCCTCATTCGTCATTCATCCTCATCATCGTCTCCAAAAAACCTGTGGTCTGCAACATGGTGCAGAAGACCCAAACATGAATTATCTGGAGAGCACTCACCCGCACGAGTGGTGAATTTGCGCAGGCGTAAGGCTTGAGCTGAAGCAATGGAGCTTGACTTCTCTGCTAATTTCGGCAATTCCCCGATGTAGGTGATGGGCCGGGGTCATACAACTTGGTCTCATATCAGCGCCGTTTTGCCACACTCGCCCCAGGTTTCGGTCCAAGCCCCCAAAACCGCGAAACCAACGCCGCTCCCCTGGCTCGAACTGTTTGGCAGCTGTTTCCGTGCACTGCAGCTGCCACGGATTTTGAATGCTGAGAGGCTGACCTGGGCATTTGCGCACTTTTGCTTCCTTTGCAAGGATTCGCCACATCTGCCCGAGTGATTTTGCAACGTTTCTTGTGGGTTCTTGAGCGGCTCGCAACTGACCTGTCAACCTCTCAGCACTTCCCAGCTTTCCTCAATGGCCCCTGCGATGACGAAGCCAGCTGCGGTCCCGGCTCCACAGGTGTAACTGTTCGGGTTCCGCGTGTGGGTTTGGGGTTGGTGCATTTAGGGACACGGAAGTTGTGACCCCCTTTGTTTCCCAAAGGATGCATCAAAGACTGCGGTCGGTCAGTTTCTCGCTAGCGAGCGAATGCCAATTGAACTTGAAACGACGTGAGAGTCAGTGCACAGCATGTTGAGTCATAGCACTGCGTAGTACTGTGCTAGGGTACACCAGTGCGTTGTAGTACTTCATTGCAGGGGGCCCGGGAAGCCACACGCCTGCAAAACATGCTGCATTAATAAGGCTGGTGCAACGGGCTGGGTGGCCACAGACCTGCAGACTTACCTACGGCCTAAGATTTTTACATCGACATGTTATTCATTTATACTTATGCCAGCATTGCCGTTGCATGTTTGTGGGCGGGGGGGCGTAGTTTAGATTGAAGGAACTGCTAGCAGAGGCTCAGCAAGCCGGTCCGAGATCCAAACTGGGCAGCCGAAATCTAAAGGGAGTTTAAAAGTCAGTTTTCTGGAATCCGGCGGCTGAACTCTTGACATCGCGTTCTGCAATCTGGGGCACAGCCCCTTTAGCCCAAGCCCGAGATTGCGAACCTGAAGTCCCTAACCCTAAGTGCGTGATCACCCCAACCCCACAGACCCAAAACCACCCTATGCAAACCCTAAACCTTAAACCCGACCCCCCCTTTTAATCTCAAGCCCACCTTGCGAGGTCGAGAAGGCACCAGGCAATCCCCACTACCGGGGCACCGAGCTCTGCAGCTTCTTCTTGAAAGGCACCGGAAGCCGAGCTCAGAAGTTATCGTATGTAATCGTGCATGATGAATATGGTCGTATATTACGATGTTGATGTATGAAGTTTTGACAGCATAATGCAGCATGCTTTTGCGTATTGTAGTATAGTATATCATAGCATTTTATAGTATTGTATATCATTGTGGTCTATGGCAAAATATACTATGGCATGTCATGATGTGATCTTTGTAGGATGTCTGGGCTTCATCTTGTTGAGGCCCAGGGCTGTGTAGGAAATCAGGCAGAGTGGCACAGAAAGACAGTCTCAACCGCTGAGACATAGAAGTATCAGAACATAGAGGAGTTTAATAGAACCCATAACTAGTAGGATGTACCCCATGTAAGTTCGGGAAGTTTATAGGATCTGCTCTAAATGCCGAGTAGGAGTGCGCCCCAGAATCATCCAAGGAGCTCCATGTTGTAAAGTATTTAGCAGGGCAGCCTTCAGAAGATGGTTTGAGAGAAATCCTTAGTCCGGCTCGATCGGGCTTGCGGGCGTACTCGGGGTGCGGGCAAATCTCCACAAAGCAGGGTAGTCGCCCCTACAATGGCTGACGACCCTCCGCCAGGGATGTGCCGCCATGGTACGAAGTGCAACTTCGCTCACAGCATCAACGATCTCAAGGACTGTGCAATTCAGTTTGCTTAGCCGCCGTGAAGGGATCTCAGCATAGCATAGTGTTGGAAATATGCAGCACAAATATTGGTTGTGGTTGAGTCATGAGGCAGTACGGCCCGCCAGCTACGGGCTATGTGCTGTTACTGCGTGCTTGCTCTACATTCTTTCCAAGGGATCGGTTGGTTACGGGCTGGGCCCGCCTTCAGTGAAGAGGTTTTCGCAGCTCACACCCCCTGCTACTCTCTTTCACCGGTCCACCATACTCCGAGCCACTCGGCCCATTTTGCCTGAGGCCTGAACCGTCAACTCTCGGCCTCCTAGGCCCCGCAGCGCAAGCCTGAAGTCCTACTTCGCCTTCCGTAGGTAATGCCACTAAGGACTGTTACCCTAAACCCGAAACCCTAAATTCTACACCCACAGACCTACAGCTCGAAAGACCTTCTGCTGTCAGGAGAAGCCCGACTTCTCGAAGACCCGTTTGTGCACCAACTACTTCAAGACCAAGTCGCCCTTTGGGACACAAGAAGTGGGGCTCGAGAGGTGGGGCTTTTGGAGCGGTGTGGGGGGTCGTTCAGGGGATCGGGGCTTCGGAACCAGGATTCCGAGTTTGGGGTTAAGGGCTTTCGGGTGCCTCAGGGCCTTCAAGGCAGCCTTCGGGCCCTATCCCTACCTAGTTCGTGATAGTATATTTCTCTAACTCTTAATGCGATCTTCGCACTGCCGGAGACTTGACCATGTCGATCCCAGGACACACGACCCTGAGCCCTGAATCTTGGGATCACCCAAAGACCAAACGAAAATCCCCATTCGACTCGAAGAGTCTGAATCCTCACTCCTCCAACTCAGAAGCTGAGGGCTCTTGTCGCCACAAAGACAGGCCAAGTCTTCCTTTCCATGCCAACGCTGTTTAAGCTTGTTGTCGTCAAGGGCTGGCTTGTTTTCCTGCAGGCTCAGCCATGCTGTATGTGTTTCCTGGTCTTGGATATTGCTATTGATTTGGGCCTTTTTGTTTTGGGGGGAAGCGGCTACTACGAGTGTCCCTCGCGCGACGGTCATACCGAAACCCAGGTGTCCCTATGGCATGAGCTGCAGTTTCGCCCACAGCATCCCGGCTCAACGAGCTTGTGCACCTGTACTGTCTGCTATGCTGTCCGACTGAGGCATTCCGTCGTAAAGCACGGCAGCTGTATGTATGTGTACATACGTGCATGTATTCATGCAGGTACGTTTGCGTGTTTTTGTGTGTCTATATGTGTTGCTGTGCGGCATGTATGTGTTGAAGCATGCATTCATTGCGTCACGTGCATACCTATGTATGTGCGTATGTATGTATGCATCTGTATGTATGTATGTATGTATGTATGTGTGTGTGTGTGTATGTGCGTATGTCTGTCCGTCCGCCCGCCTGTCTGTCTGTTTGTCACTGTTTGTCTATCTGTCTGTCGGTCGATCCGGCTATCTGTCTGTCTATGTATATACGTCTGTCTGTATGTCTGTCTGTATTTATGTATGTAACTCTTTAACATGTGCACATTGATTCGGATAGTACAAGGTAAACCAATGGAGGAAGATTAGCTGATTAACACGTGGAGCACAACGTAGAGCTTAGTAGTAATTTGTCGGCACAAATCGGAATACCGCAGTATGTGTTAAGGAGGGTCAGTATAAGGTTGCTACAAGGGTCACTTTTCGGATTTCATAAAGTGCTTACGGTGGCCCTAAAGGCCAGAAGCAGTTTCCTCCACAGCCCATTTGTCGAAAGCTGTTCGCCGGACGCTGTGACCACCTAACCTAGGGCCTGTTGTGAGGGTTCATACCCAAAAAGCCATGCCATGAAGCCCTGAATATGGAAGCCTGGATGATTAGAAATGTTGTGCTTTAGGGTTCCTTAAGCATAGTCTACACTACCTACACTTCCCGAAGCCTTAAGCAGGAAGGCTGGAAAGCTTTGCAAACAGCCTGGTCACGAGATACTATAGGGGCCTAAATAATTACCTATAGCACTGTGGCAGTTCCTGATTAATACTATAGTATAATGTATCCCAAAACCCTATTCTAATTATTAAGGCCCCTGTATTAAGGCAAAGACGAGATGCGCTCGGCGGCGCGTTCGCGTGCTGCCCGCGACAAGGTGAACATCGACCTTTCGGAGGCGGCGTTTGAGTGAAGACGTGGGGATCTGAAGAATTAGGATAAGCTTCTTTGGTGTATACTATCCTAAGGCCTAGAATCTTAACAAGGACTATGGGAACTGAATAATGGCTCATCGGCTCATCGCGTCCCCTCATGGCCCTTATATCATGGTATTTTACCCTTTGAGTAAGTCTTGGGGTTTAGCTTTAAGGCTTTAGGGGGAGTTAGGGTTTGGTTAAGGACGCAGGGGTCTCTGTTTCGATTCTTAGGGCCTTCAGATTCGGGGCTTTCGGCACGCCAAGCTTGAGGCTGTCTGACGATGCCCCCACGGCCTCGGGCAAGATCGTAGATCGTAGATCAACTTTTCCTTGAGCCCTGGAGCTGTCCCATCGTCAAGTACAACCTCGTTTCGGCTGCGGTACAAGAGGAGGGCGTCGGGCCAAGTCGGAGGTCATCGTTGTCATCCTGTAGACAGAGCCCCGAATCCCCACAAGGCCTGAAGCACTTGGCCTCCAAGCCCCTCAACCAGAAAGCCCGGGTACTGATGAGACCCCCGGGTCAAGTCCTCCTGCTTGGCCAGGAGCCCGGAATCAAGACGCCAGAGACTCGTGAGGAGTTGACGACGCCCATTCGTCGATGCTTAGGGGGCCTTTCTGTGGGGCATCGGCAGTCGTTCATGCTTTGGGTAGGGTTTTGCGGGGTTAGAATTTGCCCAGCGGTCTGACCGGTAGCTTTGAACCCGCTGCCCCAAGTGCAAGAGAACGCTTGTTGCCAAGAGGGTTTAAGTCCTCCGGCGCAAGCAATTCCGAACTCTGCCCGAAAGCTTGAAGTCCAAAACTAAGGCCTTAAGTCTTAACGCACGGAAGCCTTGATATCACTCAACCCCAACAGTCGTAAATAGCCCGCAACCTGTCAAGCCTAAACAGTCCCACAACGGCCCTCCCGATTTTTAAATCCTGTCCATTCATGGGCGCTTTGTATATGAGAATCCAACCCAATCCCAATATTAAGGCCCAATGTCCAACCCTGTACACATCTTGCGTTTGAAACCCAAAAACATCCCCCAAACGGCTCGCACAGCCAGGTCACTTGTTGCCTCGCAGAGGCGACCTCGTTTCGGGTTTTCCGGGCGTTTGGTGCGGAAAATTCAATGGGTTCTTGAGGTCTTGGTTTCCGGGTTTCATTGCCGTAGGGCTTTCTTGATTCAGGTTGAGGTACGGAAACTTTGGCTTAGCTTGAGCCCTCAACCCTCAGCCTCAACGCTTAACCCGCAGCATCCCTAAATCTGAACATCCCATGAGCCGCAACTCTGAACGCTAAACTTCGAAGGCTCAAAGCCCGTTACAAACAAGTCATTGGGCTTGTTCTTACATTGAGGCAAACTTATATGAGCTCCGTTTGCCATCGGGCATCTCCCCACTGATTCTTGCTGAGGTGTTAGTGTAGCGCAACATACAAGATAAGTTGTGATGCTAGTTGAAGACCGACTCACGCTGCGTACCGGCAGACGAGGCTGCAGCATCTTGAGCGATGAGGGTGTGCACGAAACGCACCCGGAGCCCTAGAAGTGCAGGGCTTTGAATCCCAGGCTTGGGTCCCGCAACACTCCGGTGCTCCAGGACGGCCATTTCGTTCTGACGCATCCGAATCCAGGGTTCGGTCAGGTTTGCAGGGCCCGGTACAGCAGCAGGGCTTCAGAACTCAGTGTTCTTAGTTCGGGGTACAGTGTTGACGGCCAAGAACTCGCTCACTGTTCCCGGGAATTAATTTTGCGGCCCTGAGTGGAGCAGAGTTCGAGGGATTGTGATGACTGCCTAGGTCCTAGGTTTGCCAGTATCAGAGAGCGGTAGTCTCCAAGCGCGAAACTGGTATTAGATTGCATTGTGGCCATCGGCTCTGCAACTTTCAAAAGTAGGAAAGGACAAATACATAAAACCAGAAATCTAGGCTAGACTCGACGTGAAGGATCGGATCGCTTGGTGGAGAAAGGTTCCAGAAAGTCCCAATCCCCAAGGTCTTAAAGCACCTCGGCGCCTCAGGATTTGGAGAGGCTTCTATCCATCCTTTGGCAAGAGACTGGGGTTCGAAGGGTCTCGACTTTAGGGCTTTGCCTCGCTTGTCAGGAGCCGATTTTCATCTCGAGTGGCGAGGACGTTTGCTTCCGACCGCGCTATCCGCGTCTCTGATCAGGTCAACTTGCAGACCTCTCCAGCCTCTCACCCGAGACCTCAGGCCCATAGACCCTGAGCCCTAAACCTTGAACATCGAGAACCCCCAAACCCCACATCCCAAACCCTAAACACCCCAAACCCCAGGCCCATATATCCCAACAAAAGTCCTGAGCCAGCGAGGCGTCAGTCACGGCCCGTCAACGGAAACAGGTTAGGGTTGAATTTTTTTCTTTTGGCTTCAGCGTTTTAGATGGGGTCAGGGTCAATCGTGTGAGAAAGGCTTTTTGGCTTGTGTTGCGGTTGGCCGGTCCTTTGCCTTTTTGGCTTGAGCTCCGTCTCATGCTTATCATGGTTCGTATAGGGCCTTAGTAGCTACAAAGAATGTCCTTGTGGGGCGCATGAGTATTACTATTCATCATTCAGACCCCTACACCCGCGGGGTGTGATGTGGCATTTACGGGGCGGAGAAATTGGTAATGCTTTTTCCTTAGCATCCCTTAGGGTTGCTTATTGTGAGTACAGGGAAATGTACTGCAAGACATTACAGGGCCTTACGGTAGCGTTCGGGAGAATCCCAAACTGGCTGCAGGACCTTTTGCGCCGTCCCGACGTTGACTTGGCGCAAGACCTGGCGTCGTCACCCGTCTTGCATTGCGATGCCGATGCTCTTTTGCTGGTCCACAGAGCAGACCACCGCCAGAGCACTGAGCTGAGGGTCCCGTGGCTCCGCTACGGGAGTGGTTCCTCCGCGACTCCACCGACCTCCTCGACTCCGCCCGCCTCGATGACACCACAGGCGCTCTTGCTGCCCTTTTTTACTTTGTGTGTGTGTATGTGTGTGTGTGTGTGTGTGTGTGTGTGTGTGTCTTGTTCTTTTCTTTGGGGTGGTTCTTTGGGGTTTGGCGGTTGGAGTTTCGGGGTGTAGCGTACCGTTTATCGTTTGGGGATTTGCAAATCGAGGGCTTTTCAGCTTGGGAGAATAGGGTGCAGCAGTGTAAGAATTTTCGGTTCAGGTTTTTTTCGGCTTGAGAGTCTCGCTCGACGGCGCATGTTTGGTCGTGGTCCACCCAGCCTTTGTTGCAAAGCGATTGTTGGGTTGATCCTGATTAGTGACCCTTATCGAGTCTATCGCATCTGCGTCATTCCCGTCATCCTGATATCCCTTGTCACTGCTGATGGTTGTGTGAGTGCCATCTGGATTCTTGTCTCTGGTCTTGGTCTACCCCAAAACTAAGACCCCCACCCAGACTCCTGCACATAAGGACGTTCCTAACTAGGAGATCTACGACGATGTACGAGCCTTGCGCGGGCCAGAGCTCACCCGAAAGTCTCAGCCCTACGGTATCAGAGCATTCCAGGCCTGGTGAGAGGCGAAGAATCGCAGTCGTTGACAGCGGTCTGGTCAGACTAGCAACAAGACAAGCTTGCGATAGTAACCTTTTCAGACACCCAAAGCACCTCCAAACCGTAAGCAATGTTGTCATCGAAGTGATATCCCTTATTACCGCCAAATTCATGGTCGTCGTCGTAATCCTAGTAGTGAGAGTACTGGCAGTTATTCTGACAGACCAGATTGTTGGAGTGGTAGGCTGGGACGAAAAACATCCCTTGTTGTCACCTTAAGATAGAAGCAACCCGAACATTGAACCCCCGAAGCCCTGAACCTTTGAATCCTAAACCGAAGAGCAGTCAACAGGAATCCTATGGCTCGTTGTTGGACCTCCTCGAGCCCATCTTCTGAGTTCGTGGGTTTACGCTTTAGGATTGAAGGTTCAGGGTTTAAGATACATGCAGGGCTGCGGTTACGGGGTTAAGCAGCCTGGGGCAAGAAATGTCCGATATGAGGAGTAGTAGTAGTAGTAGTAGTAGTAGTAGTAGTAGTAGTAGTAGTAGTAGTAGTAGCAGCAGCAGCAGCAGTAGTAGTAGTAGTAGTAGCAGCAGCAGCAGTAGTAGTAGTAGTAGTAGTAGGAGTAGGAGTAGGAGTAGGAGTAGGAGTAGGAGTAGTAGTAGCAGCAGCAGTAGTTGTAGTAGTAGTAGCAGTACTAGTAGCAGTAGTAGCAGCAGTAGTAGTAGTAGTAGCAGCAGTGGTAGTGGTAGTGGTAATGGCAGTGGTAGTGGTATGAGAAACTTCACGACCCGGGTTGGGATCACCTTCGTTCATCAAACTTGGTGGGGCGGAAGCTTCACAGGGCCATGGCTTCGAATTTGGAGCACTCTGGTTTTTACTCAGCGGCAAGAAAGTGCTGGCTTCTGTCGATCATGGAAAATGTTTTGCCGATCCTTGAACTATACAACTCAGTGTGGATGCTTACTTCGACTTACCGGCAGTGTCAGTGACCATAAGCCCTGGCGCATTAATACTTTCTAGGTCTGCGGTAATGAGGACAATGCTGCTGCAACACTAGTAGTCTGCATATCCATATCAGTATTGTCTGCGGCACTACAAACTATTGCTACCACCACCGCGACGACGACTGCTATCACTCCTGCTCCCATTCCCCTTTCGTCTCCTTCTGCTACCACTGCCACAGTCACTGCCTGTGCTACTGCCACAGCTACTGCTGCCGCTACAGTAGGAGGAGGAGTAGTAGTAGGAGGAGGAGCAGTACTACCGCCACCAACACCACCAACAATGCCACTACTACCACTACTACCACTGATACGGCTGATACCACTCCCGAAAATCCCACTCCCACTACCTTACCACTGCCACCACCACTACTACCGCTACGACAACCACGACGACAACCTCTACGACTAGTACCAGTAGTCGCAGTAGCAGCAGCAGCAGCAGCAGCAGCAGCAGTAGTAGTAGTAGTAGTAGTAGCAGTAGTAGCAGTAGCAGTAGTGGTAGCGGTAGTGGTAGTGGTGGTAGTAGTAGTAGTAGTAGTAGTAGTGGTAGTGGTAGTAGTAGTGGTAGTGGTAGTGGTAGTGGTAGTGGTAGTGGTAGTGTTAGTGGTAGTGGTAGTGGTAGTGGTAGTGGTAGTGGTAGTAGCAGTAGCTACTAGCAGTAGCCGTGCTCAGTGTTCCAAGGTGCTGCGGTTTCGGGATATGCACAGTGCGCTTCAAGATCCCCCTCGCATCACCAAGGCTTGCAGCTGCTTCTCCCAGCCAGCCGCCAGTAAGTGAGCCTTTCGCTCACAGCTTCTGGCTTTGAAGAACGTGATCCACGGTTGGATGGATCAGGGCATTGAGGAAAAAAGGGCCTTTGGTTTGAGGCAATGCAGATGGCGGCTTTGTGGTCTCCGAACTTTGAGAACCCTAGCATCTGAATCCAATGCGCTACCCCTCTCGTGGTTCGTGAAGCCTCATACTAAGGCACGCTGTGCCAATGCATTCGTGTAACAGATTTTGACACTGACACCTCGACTGCTGCCAACGGACATCGGGATTGTGGCTTGCTTCAACTTACAGCTGTGGATCACGCCGAGCCTTGGATTCCGAGTTGCGATATCCGGCTCGGAGTTGTCCCGACCAATCGTGCCACCATACATGGTTGATTGTCCGGGGTGAGGCCGCACTTGCAGGCTGACGCTGTGCTTGCTTCATGTTCCCGCTGCTTATTGACGGGGGGAGGCATCCGCGTGTCTGAAGTGAGTCAGAACACGGCTGTCGATGCCTCCAGAAATGCATGGTGTTAGGTGCTTTGATGCGTGTTGCTCGTTTCGGGATTATTGGTCGTTGCACAGGTTCGTCGTCTGGGCATCTGACCGCTCCATCGATTCTTCGTCTGGAGACCTCCCCCTAGCTCGATTGGATGCAGCGGTTTCAGAAAATTCGCAAAGCCTATGATAGGTGTCGCGAGGTGTGTTTAATTTCAGGCTCAGTGCTATTGACTGTGCCGTCGTTTAAAAACTTGGAGCCTTTTGAGAATGTCTTCGTGCAAAAGGCTGCATGAGCCTCTGTGAACAACAGCTTCACACCTGCCATGAACGTCAGATCTCTTCCGGTGCAGTTGGCCGGAGAATTGCGCAAGAAAAGTGGAGTTTTTCATGCCCTTCCTCGTTTACACTCCTCTCTTCATTCAGCAGTTCTCCGCATCGAACGTGTTGAAGGCCGAAAAACTCCGCATATCAATGGCTGTCCATGGCTTTGTCACAGACACGTTGTGTCAGGAACCTAACCCCAGCCTCAGAGAATCTGAGTATCAAACAGGTCGCTGAAACTCTTCACTCCATGCACAAACCCAACGATCCTCGCCCCTAAGCCCTAAGCTGTGTCCTGAATCGCCATAAAGCTGTTGTGGGGAACCACGAAGCTTCAATCCGAGCCTCTTGCGGCTTGGTGCTCTGGGATTTCGAGCTCCGGAAGAACAAGGGCTTGATACTTTGGGTATTGGGTACCGGCTCTGACATCTGAAGTCGGTAAGGCTAACTGGTGTTCTTGATGACAGAAGAATGGAGTCAAGGTCTCGGACGCTCAAAGACTCCAACCCAGGCCTCGAACTTAAACCTTATGTCATGGGAGTGATGCAGATCTTGGGCGAGACAAACACTCAAGTGTTAAACTAAACGAAATCTAGCGTCGAGGTTCTGTGCTAGAAGTCCCAGATCTTGTCCGTGTTTCCAACCTTGAGGGCGGCAAGTGGACTCTTGTTGCAATCGCTGTCCTAGAAGAAGATCCGTATTGCGACGGTTTCACCGTGTAAGGGCAAGCACGACTAAAATCAATGTAGGATGCAACAGCCGCCCTTCGGTCAGTCAACCTTACAAGACGGCAAGCGTGACCGCTGACAAGACGGCTGAACCTACTACAGATCAGCACGACATCAGCAATTGTCGTCTTCGTCCGTCACATCACCATCACCACAACTCTTGCCATCGCCATTTTCATCATCCTCGCCATGGCTGCCATCATGATGATCATCATCATCATCGTCATCATCGTCATCACCATCATCACCATCATCACCAGCATCACCATCATCACCATCATCACCATCATCACAATCATCACCATCATCATCATCGCCGTCGCCACCACCACAACTCTTGCCGTCGCCATTTTCATCATCATCCTCGTCATCATCATCACCGTCATCACCATTATTATGATGATGATCATCACCGCCATATTCTATGAACCTCCTCATCATCAACATCATCCTCGTCATCATCATCCCCGTCACCATCATCACCATCATCACCATCATCATCAACATCATCAACATCATCAAAACCATATTCCTCCCAAGAGAGGAAGTCGGATTCGGAAGTGCGCTTGCGCCACTTGAACCCATGCAGTATCCCCGGCGTCATGGTTATTCTTGACCATCGACAAGAAGTCCACAGACGGGGTGGTGGACGGGGTAAGGAGTTCACCGGAAACTTAGACAAGAATGTCTTACGCAACGCAAGAATATCGGCCTAGACAACTTCTTGCCGGATCCAGATGCGAGCAACTGGAGGGACACCCGACGAGGCAGCCAAGGCGCGAGGAAATGCCAAGGACGAGGACTGCCTCAACACGCGTCGCAAAGCAGAAGCTGCCGGAGTGAATTACGCAGCTGCGTCACCTTTGATGACGGATCGCACAAGCAGCTTCTTTTGCTCAGCACCGGACGGATCAGCAACGGCGCAGGCAATAAAGCCCATGGTTGAGAACCCAGCCGCTCGCAAGGCATCCACAAACATCATCACAGTCATCGTTTCCACGATCATGATCTTCAAGTTCATATTGATCTTCATGTACAGTGTCATCTTCAGTACCGTTGTCATCATTTTGCATACGGTTATCATTCCTCAGTGCAGTTGTCCTCATCGCCACCTTTGCCATCATCGTCGTCGTCGTCATCCTGGTCTTGTTTCTCGTCAACATGTCACCGTCGCCAGCACTAGCAGCACCACCACGATATCCAGCAGCAGCAGCAGCAGCAGCAGCAGCGGCAGCGGCAGCGGCAGCGGCAGCGGCAGCGGCAGCGGCAGC